CTTGTCACCAACGTCTGACGTAGTCAGACGTTGCGTAGCCTCGTCTGACGTAATCACGTGTTGCGTAGCCTCGTCTGACGTAATCACGCGTTGCGTAGCCTCATTTTTTTGCATCAAACAGTTGAGAGGGAAACTAGATGGAAACAGTCTAGATTCGAATTTCTATTTATTTAATTTTTTGTGAATTTTGAAAAGTTCGATAAAAATTCACTCTACAACTGGATGGAAACACGATTATAGTTTCTATAATGTTCAGGAAGTGAGGGTTATAAAAACGTATATACTGACTGGCATAGTTGTTGAGGTCAAACTGCGAAAGAGCGTTCTCCTTCGGTTTCTTGGTGGCCTGTTTGGCTTCATCTTTGCGACGGGTGGGCTGCTCTTTTGTTGGTCTTTGGGATCCTCCTCCAGCTGCTGGTGCCTCAGAGTTCTGCTGGACTACAGGGCTGACATTCAGAGGAAAAGACAAGCATGCACAGTTTAATGTTGGTGACAGGAGCATCAAAAAACTTCCACTAATTATAAATGCTACAGCTGTGGGGAGTGGATGGATAAAGAACTCAGAAGTGGGCCCATTCCTCTCTCCAAAGAGACGAAAATTTAATCAAACCTTTGTGTCTCTCAGATGAAGGACACAAGGTTAGAAACACTCAGTGTTCTGAGCTTCTCAGGATCCATAAAGGAGTCCCCAAGAATTATTTTCCTTTGCCCGCTCAGAGCCAGGCAGTGGTCTAAGAGGTGCAAAGAGGTCTGTAGTTCAATGCCACAGACATCAAACAGACCATGGTCAAGGAGTCCGATCACCACTTTGTGGCTGCTGAACAGGTTCAGGGTTCCTACAGTTTAAGTCCAGTTAAATTTCAGACTTTTTAATGCCAAGTGAAATGAAACTTAAGACTAATTTTACAACAAATAAATGACAAAAACATAAAAACTGTCAGAAACTCATGAATCAAAGTATTTTTGGTTGAAGTCTTCAAATATTGCTAAAAGAACATTTGTTTTTATCCATATGCATTTTTGTCAAATATAGCAAAAACATTCTTGGCAGTCAGTTTTAAACCAATTCAATTCCTGGAAATCATCTAACAAGCCAACATTTGGAGTTTTAGGACCCACAGTGGGTTCTCAACGACAACTTGCTGTAGATGAAACCTTAAAGTGCATGTGACATCAAATGTTTGTAAGAAATATGAATGCATTTTTGGAAAAACAACATTAACAAATTACTAAACAAATGTCACTTTGCTCAGATGAACAGTTGTTGAAATATTTGCATGTGAAATAACAGAAAGTGATGTCAAAGAATAATGTCTGCRTGTGAATATTAAAAAAATAAATGTCACCAATTATTTTAGTATTTGAGACAAATCRTCCTACTTACAATGTGTTAACATTTTTAAGACTTCTGAAAGACTGATTAAAGACATTTTAAAGCTAATTAAGGCCTTAATTTTGGATTGATGAATTCAATGACTTTTTAAGGATCTGCAGGAACCCTGAGATTGTGCCAGGTAGGACTCCAACCATCAGGCTATGTAGACAAACAATTTTAACATAAAAGATAAATTAAAATCCTACATGCAACATAAGTGATAATGAAAACCATGTTAAATTGTTTATTTTTGGCAGGCCACAACACAAAATATTTACAAATAAAACAATTCTGATGCCATAATTAGTTTTTTTCTCTTTCTTTAAAAGCTGCCTTGCACCATTTGCAAGTGGTTTTTTTTAGCGTATGATCCTGTGTTTCTGTGTAAACATAGGATCAGAGCATTTTTTTAAACTCATTTTTCCTATTGTGTGTATTCCAAGCTTTTTAAAGGTAGTGCGACCCCTACTGGTTGCTGCATGACCTGAACACCTGTTACCCCATGTTTTTGTTGTGTGTGTCTTCCTGAATGGGTGTTCTTAAATGTAATTTCATTGTGCAAACGATGACAATAAAGGCTTTCATCTTCATCATCATCATCATCATCATCATCATCATCATTTACCATGAGGGTCTGGTGTCATCTTCATCATCATCATCATCATCATCATCAAAACCCATTTTTTGGCCAGCTGGAAAAAAAAAGTCTAACTTGATATTTTTTTTTAAACAAACTATACCAACCCTGCAGAAATATTTAAAACCTGTTTGTTTTCAATTCAACTCAATTAACTGCAAGAAATGCAGAGGTTTATTGGGAGAGAATAAAGCTGAAGTGTTGTTTTAATGCAGTGTGTTGTTTGAGTAAACCTCTTTGTGTCACTGTTTATGAACAACCGGCAGACAGAAGCTCATTGTTTACTCACCCTTTGCGTCCAGTTTTGCCCCCTCCTCTCCTTTCTCCCTTGCCTCCAGGGTAGCTGCGCACTGCTTTGGCTCCACTGTTGCCTTTGCGGTTGGGCCTCTCTATGGGCCTCTGACTGGAGAAACTCCTCTTGGCCGTTTGAGACGCCTCACGTTTTGGGGTCACGCCTCCATCAGGTGAACTTTTGTTAGGGGTTGACGTGCCCTGAGGAGGTGCAGGTGCTGGAGCAGAGACTGGGACTGCCTCAGCAGCAGCCTCCAGAGTTCCTTTCCTCTCCTCTCGTTCCCTCCTCTCATTGAAATCGCTGCTTTCAGAAGCAGTTTCCCACTCCTCGTTGGCTTGATCAGAAGAGTTCTGGTTTGACAGGTCAGGGGATTTGGTACCCGCTGCAGTAATGGTGGGACTGCTGGTCCCAGGCAAGGACACTTCTAAGGGAGAGTGTTGGTCAGGTGCGGGTACAGCAGCTGCCACTTCTGCAGGCACAGTTAGGGGAGTTCCCGGAGCTCTAGAAATGGTTGGAGAGAAGGAGGTTTGGGGAGTTGCTGAACTAGAGGCAGCTGCAGCAGGCACAGAAGGTAAAGAACCRGGGGGACGGGCAGCTGTGTCACCACTTCCTAACACTGCAGCCTCGCGCTCTTTCAAGCGTCTGAAGCGGGGMGGTTTATCCTGCCTCGGGGGCCGAGCCGGTCGAGATCGACGAGGCCTTTCTCTGCTGCTCTGAGCAGCTCCATCTCTAAATTTTTTACCCTCTAATTTGGGGGGGCGTCGGTCAGAGGAAGGATTGTCATATCTATTTGCAGACTCTGTGTCTTCAGGCCTGAACGTCTCCATAGGTTTGGAGGGCCACTGAGAGGAGGAGTCTCTGGCAGGCGGCCTTCTGTGTGGGGCTGAGCGAGGTCCACCACGCTCTCTCGTTCCACCTCGTCTACTGTACAAACCTCCTCTTCCTCGTCGGAAAGGCTCTCCTTTAGGAAGAAAACCTGGCTTAGGCCGGCCATCTTCGTCTCCTCTTGAGGCGACTCTTTCCCCTCCGTGAGGCGGCTCAAAGCTCAGCTTGTGGGGCRCAGAACGGCCCTCACCAGGGAGCTCTCTTCTTAGTGGACGGCTGGGTTTGCTGCTGGGCTCGCGGTCAGAGGGTCCGGTATCGCTGGCAGACTCTCTGCCACCTTCGCTCTCAGAGTCTGTGTCTGAATCACGACGACGTCTGCGTTTTGGAATGACCTCAAAGTCTGAGCTCTCGCTGCGTGTTTCACTTTCTTCCCTGTTACAAAAGGCAGCCCCTGCAGCAGAAGGTAAGTCGGAGCGTAACCGGGGCTCTCGATAAGGGTACTCCGCTCGGCTACGACCACGACTTCCCCGTCCTCGGCCACTGTAGGATCCACGGTAGCTTCTTCCTCTGGAGTAGTACTCCCCTCGACCTCGTCCTTTGAAGTTTGAGTCTGTGGGCCATTCTCTCTCCCTGTCCTTGTCGGTTTCCTTCTCCTTACGCTCCTCACGCTCCCTCTCTCGCTCCTCTCGTCTGKGGCCACGGGGAGGAAAACTGGAGTCTTTCCGCGGGAGCAGTTTTGGTTCTGGATGCTTGTCATTACTGGGCAGTCTGTCTGCTTTCTCCTCCTGGGAGGACGAGGTGAGCACCCCTGAGGAAGGCTGAGAGTCTCTGGCCCTGTGATGGGCAGCTGGTGGCTCCTCGGCCTCAGCACTTTCCTTCTTGCCTTCGCCCTGAGCTCTGGAGCTTTCAGACACGGCTGCAGCTGCAGACGGAGCTTTGGATGGCTGATCCTTTTTGGGTCGATCCCCTCGTTCCCCTTTCTCGTGGCGCTTCTCCCTTTCTTCTCTTTGCTCCCTCTCTTCCTTCATGTCTCTCAGAACAGGCTTCTTTATTGGTCCCGATCTGCGAAGCAGCCTCTCTCCTCCTGGTCCATCCCGGCGTCCACCCACTGACCTCCCACCCCAACGCAGTTCCACTTTCTGCTTGCTGGGACCTGGCAGAGGCAGCTTCTCTGGTTTGTATAATCCATCTGCAGGGGACGTAGCCCTGTTGCTGGACACAGCAGCCTGGGAGTAAACTTCACTCTGGTGCTTATCAGAAATCCGTTCCTCCGGGTCCTGCAGCTCTAAGGGTTTAGTTGCCAGGGGTATTCCTTCAAACCTAGGCTCATCCGTTTTAAGGGAGTGGCTAGAACCCTGTGAGATACTTCTCTGTAGCATTGCTTGACCGATAGCCTCCACTTCTTCACCGCTTGGCAAGCCTCTCTCTTCAGGATCGAAGGCAGAGCTTACAGGGACCCTATCGAGAGGTACCGGTGCATCCTCTGGGCCCTGAGTAAATGCTGACAAAGATTCTGACTCCCGAAAAAAGTTATTTTTCCGTGAGTCCACTGCACTGTGGTCTTGAGCATAAATAGCTGGAAGACCCCTGTCCAGATCCAAAGCAGAATCCATTCTGGGGATGGAGGGAAAGTAGCTTAATTGAATTTTATTATAAAAAGTACACATCATTAACAGTCTGTAATGTGTTATCATTTTTACCTTTGCTCTTGGATATCTTCACGTCCTTTAGGTGGAGTTACAGAGGGTAACGGTTCTGACTGTGGGTATGRCTCTGATCCCCATACCATCCGTGAGTCCGAGGGCAGGCCATGGTCTCGCACTGGTCGGGACAAGTGGTCGAATGAATCCGAGCTAGAGCTGGAGTTGTCACCTGGTTCCCTGCGCACAATCGGCTTCTGAGGCATTCTCCCTTAAAGGGTTAAACCACAGTAAATTTGAATGAGTTATCAGACAGTTAATCCACAGATCATAGTGTAAATCATAGATCTACTCACCAGGGTGGATATTTGTTGGCATGTCCATCGGGGGGCGACCAGACATCATGCGGGGGTCCATGTAGGATTGCATCATGAGCCAGCGGGGGTCAAAGCCCATGGAGGCTAAGTGTTGGTGGTGGGGGCCTATGGGTTGATACATGGAGCGGTGCTGTTGCTGTTGGGGAGCTTGAACATTACCACCACCTGAGGGGGACACAGACCCCCCACTCTGCTGCTGTTGCCATTGTTGCTGCTTCATCTGCTCCTGTAAAGTCAACAAAGTAACAAAATACAAGCTTGAGTCTGAATTTATTATTTTTACTATTTAATATAAAGTAGTCTTTAGTTTATAAAGTGTATTCATTTCTTTTTAAAGAAACAAAACAAATTCTACACACAAGAAACACAAATCACAAATAAAATGAAAGGCAGCAGAAAGAAAAAAATCTTATATCTGTCCCTTTTTTCCCAAAAACATAATTCAAATAATCCTTATCAAATAAACAAAACAAACAAAAAAAGTTAACTCCTTCTTGAGCAACAATTCATATAGATACAAATTTTACCATTTTATCTTTTTTCTACAAACCAACTTTGATCATTCTCTTAAACACACACATTGATCTGACATTTTTAACATCACTTTCTAGATTGTTCCATAATTTTATTCCCTGGCTTGAAATACACTGCTCCTTCAAACTGGTTCAAAATTTAGGTTTAACAAACATCTCTATCTCYTTGAGATTGTAACAATTCTCTCTGTTAAAAAAATGTCATTGGATGGTTAAAGGCAATATGCTAAACTGACAAAATATTATAATCAACCAAATCATAGAACTTCAATAATTTCAACTGATATTTGATGGGTGAAATGTTTTCTGGTGATAATTCTTACAGGTCTTTTCTGTAAAACAAAAATAGGATTTGTAATTGTTTTGCATGTTTTACCCCAGACTTCAATGCAATAAATTAAGTGCATTAAACAACATATACAGAACTTTATCATTGAATAACTTCTTTACTTTGTACAATACTACAATAGATTTAGCTATTTTTGTTCTTAAATAATTTATGTGAGGTTTCTATGTCAGCTTTTCATCAACGACACCCAGAAACCACCTCACTGACTTTACAAATCTCTACACCATCAACTTTAAATGCAACATCAATAGTTCTCTTTCTACTACTCAATTAATTTATCCAAATT